TAGATTGGCTATAATTCAGAGATATTGCTTATGTTACTGTGTCTTGACAAGACATTAAAAAAAAAAATTGCTCTAAGCTGAGGTGCTAGCTATGGAGATAAATGTGTGATCATGTCATTGCTTTTAGAAATACTGAGAAAAATATTCCAGAACCCTCAAGGCTGGACTGAGCACGTGTGCCTTGGCTCCATGAGGAGGGTGGCTATGCAGAGCCTACAGGTACCTATTTGGGTGCTGAGGAAGGGCTGTTCTGGGTGTCTCTCTCCAAGGGAGAGGACAGCTCTGGGTGCTGAGCAGGGGACCTGTGAGGGGTGATGTGTGAATCCTGGCTGAAACACAGCTGTTTCTGTCCAGATAATGCACTGGATTTCCCTTTGGGAGTGATGGCTAGTTAAAGTCACACACTGTTTGGATGACAGCTGTGAAGGTAAAGGTGCTTGGTTCTGAGTGTCTATTTCTCTGGGGCCCTCCCAAAATATCTTGGGGCCCTCCTCCCCCAAGAGCCTTGGGGGTCCTGGAGTCTGGTAGCTGTGGAGGGTGGGAGTCCTGTGGGACACAGCCATGGCAATTCTCTCCCAGCCCCTCAGTAGTCAGCAGAGTAGGCAGCCTGCCATGCTTGTGTGGCCTTTTTAGCAGCAGTTACAGAAAATATCCTAACTCCTAGGGGACAGAAGAGGGAAAGGGCTCTTTTGGATACTTATGTGACAGTCAGTCCCTAATGGGATCAGACATCCCTGGATAAGTTCAAAGCTTCTCTAGCTTTGAGCTCCATGGCAGTGTACCAAGAAACTTTTCCACTTCATAGCAAAACTTCCTTCCAAGCAAGGAGAAACCTGGAGGCTGACATCCTCTTTTGCTGAGGTGTGCTCTTCCATTTTTGCCTCTGCAATTCTGGCCCCAGGTTTCCATGACAGCAGCAATGTACAAAAAGAGCATAGTGGCTAAGACAGAAATGTGCCTGCAGCTTTGCCTGTCCTAACCTTTGTAAAATGAATTTGGAGACTTCCAGTAGAGATCATGGTATGTTGCATCCACAAACCCTGGCCTGAATGCCTGGATCATTACCAGTACAGACCTTCAGCAAAGAAGATAAAACATTATTTGTACTTGAAAAAGTAGTTACTGGCTGCATGTAGACTTAGTATGTCTTATAAGTAACCACTGGTGGTTTCTGGAGGATGAGGGAGGTGATTTGGGCTTCAGTGCAAGGGGTTGGGTATGTCTACATTTGTATGACACCCAGGAGTGGGTTAATGACCTGGTGTGTAACTGTTCATGACACCTCTTAGAAGAGGTATCTCATGTTGAGCTGCTGACATCAGGTAGAGGCTGAGAGATGCCAGATGGTGACAGAGGGCCAAAAGAACAAGGGAAAAAGAGGAAGGCAAATTCTGAGGGACAGAAGGAGTAAATGGAGAATGGAAGATTTGATTTAATGAATGGCAGCAGCATTTATCTCAGAGATAGGATTAAGAACCAATGGAGAGCTGAGGAGGAAGAGAAGAGATTCAGAATAAATCTGGTGGTGATGAAAGTACATGGGATGTAGAGAGGGCTAAGCATGAGATGTTTGTGTTTAGCAGAGATGGCACAGATCAGATGGCATCTCATCTTTGGTGGAGATGAGAAGGTTTTGGCAATGGTGGCTGGCTGCACATTCAGATGAAAAGTATTAGGGAAGAAATGGGTCCATGTTTGAACTTCTGCATCAATTCCTAGTAGGCAGCTATCCACACTGGGGCTTAATTGTTGGCAGCACTAAGGCCATGGAATAAGTGGATATATGGGCTACAAACGCCCCTCCTGTTTAGGGGAGTACAGTGTAGTGAAACCAGTGCAACATATGCTCCTTTGTAACTAAGGGAAGAGTGCTGTCTGTCCTGCAGCTTTCTGGAAGAAAAGATGACATCTTTGGTGAGATCTTGTGGGACCTATTCAATTTCCTGGCTTTTAATTAAATTTTGTTTGAAATTCTCCTCTTCCAGGCTCTGCAGTTTGTGTGAACAGGTTAAGCAGAGAAGTACATGGAGAAGGAGCGAGCTCCAGAGCCCACATTTGCCACTGGGTAAGAAAAGGGCTGCACTGACATCTCTCTGTGGTGGTTTTTGTCAAAATTCCTGCCCAAATGTGCACTGGTGATCACAGGCTGGCAGGCTTACTTACACTGCAGTTTGGACCAGAGAATCTGCATCAAAGAAGGCATCTATTTCCTTGTCTTGTTGCATACATATGAAAAAGAGATATTAAAAGTTGTCATAATAACAGCAGTGCAATCCAAATGCTGTACTGCTATGTTTAAAAGACAAACGACGTGTTCTTAACAGAAGAAGTTAGACTGGATGAAGCCATATGGCTTCAGCACACTTCCCTGTGATACCTCTGGGTCTGAACCAGTCACACACCCAGATTTCCAACAATGAAAATAGTGGCTATTTAAACAACAGCAAATTATTTTTGAGTGTTAAAGATGCTTCATATTTTCTATGTGTTTACTGTAATGCAAAATTATGTTATTAGTTCAGCTGGTTGAAATTTTCTATGGGGAACATTAATCTGAAAAACAAAGTTCTGCAGAAGTTGACTCAGGCTGTATGAAGACAAATTATATTTTTTGAAGGAAATTGTATTTTAAGGAAACAGAAAACGCTTATTTTAAAAAATGTCATATTTGTGTGAAAAATATTACTTGTTTTCCATGTAGGCATCTTACAGTGCCTAGATCTATAAACTGATGATTTATTTTGCCTAACAGGAGGTAAGGAGCATTTAATGAGGGGAGGATTTGGTCTCAAAAGAGGCTGGCTGGTTACCAATATTTTTACACCAATATGATGTTTTTTGAGACATTTTTCTTCTGTAAAATAAATTGAAAATGTAATTATGCCCCCTTCACACAGCTTGTCAACAAAACCTTTCTAGGGCTAGTTAGAACTGCCCGATTTCTGAGGTAAATATGGTTTATGCTCAGGTTAATTCTGTATATGTGGTGTACTCTCAAAAGTAGTCTCTCACTGCTGGGAGTCTGGCCACCCTGATCCTGTCTCTCCTGGGACAGGAAGGAGAAAAAGGGTTTAGGCTTCTCCACGAAGGACATGATTTTCCTCTGTCTGTGTAGCCTCATAAGCCTTAGCTTGCCATTATAAAATTTTTTTGGGTTATTCATAAATTGGAGTAAGAAATTAAAATGTTCTATTCCGTTTTTTATAATGCAGTAGTTAATTAACTCTACTTGTATGCAAGAAAATGATTGTTTCTCAGGGTAACACTGAAGCCTGTTATTCAAAATTAACACAAACTATATACAGTTGAAAAAATGAAAGATTTTTGGATATATATTTTATTTGACAGTGGTTTAGAATATCATACAGTAAACAAGATTTCTGTAAAAGTTAATTTATCCATAGTGGTGCGTTTCATAAAAATAGTTGCTCACTTACAGCCTTTCTGTGACTATTAATACATGGAATTATATTTATAGAGATAGAGCTGTACAAGGTAAATTCACAGCTAACACTACACAGAAATATTATTTGGAATGGGGTTTAGATGATGTGCTGTCTTCACAGGTTATCGATTACAGCCGCATAAAGCAATTACTGCACAAGGAGTAGCTGTGAACTGTGCAAATTAGAGTTTATGCAAGCATAATCTCAACTGTTTTTCAGATTTCATTGTTTGCTTTCTTTATACATAAAAATAAGATACCGGGACGTGCATCTACACTACAGAAGCATTGTCCAAAATCAGATTCAATAAATTAATGGCAAATTATACTGGATTCTAGTTCAGGGGATAAAGATTTTTTTTTCCCATTAAATAAGAGTTTTATAAACAGCTACATGGGTTTGTGCTTTTTTAGAAATTATAAATGGATTTTTCTTTCTAAAAAAAAAAAAATGTTTGAAAGCTGCAAAATCCTTGACTTGAGGCTTTTCAAATAATTGGACAGGAAGAAACATGTCTATAAATTTCGCAGTCCAGTGCAATGTTTGAGACATACAGTAATGTGCTAATTTCTTGGAACAAAGCCAATCTCAATCTAGTTTTTCAGCAGAGCATGTGAGGAACTAAGATTGCTAGTGAACAGTAATTTTTAAATACGAATTTTTGACAGTACTTAGCTTTATGATTTTTTTTTTAATTACCAATGTATTATTGCCCAGGATTTTGTTTTAATTTTGACAGACGAATAAGCATACGCACACTTACACAGACACACACAAATCTTTTTGAAACAAGATAATGACTGACTGAACTTGGAGTTATTTCCTGTGAAGGCAGACTGGAATGTTTACCTGGCACTTAAGGCTTAAAATTCAAAACAGACAAGCAAGAAAGATAAAAAACAAAAGGAAAAAAATGGAGATGGGGGAAAAAATGGTAAATTGGAAACCATTTAAAAAATGGAAAAATACTGAATTTACTAAATGAGGACACCGATAACTGTGTTTCAGAAACCAGTCTAATTATTGTTGACATGTGCCTGAAAGGCACCTGCTCTGCCAAACTGAGGGGATGAGAGGTGAGAGTGTCCTAAGTAAATGTGGATGGGTATGAAACATAGCACTGTTGATAAGTGATGCTATCATCTTCTGCAGGAAGGAAAGGCCTTTCCTTAAGGAAACTGCAGCTTTTTCTCTGTAGCACTCTTCCTTTCATTGCAAGGGCCTTGCAGATGCCTGGGGTTTGAGCCTGACCAATTGGTTTGTGTGCTACCTCACAGGACTTGGGGAACCTGTAATAAATCACTTTTGAGAATAATTTGCAAATACAACTCCACCTTAACTCCTTTCCAATGTACAGAAACATGGTTTGTTCACAAAAATGGCAGTAGAAATGGTATCACAGAAACTAATCCACTGGATTCCCCACTCTCCCGTAGCGCCCAGTGGACTATGCTACAGGGTACCACGTGGACTATCCCAAAGTGTTAACAGTGGAGACGTGTCATGGGTGTACAGTTCCAAACGATGCTTTAAAGAAACCCTTTAACCCCTGTCTAGATATGTCGAGAACAATTTATTTACAACATTTTAGCTCCATGAAAAGATCCTCTCTCGTTTTCAGCTTGCTCCGTGCAGTTTTATTTAAGGCGATGTTCCAGTTTGTGATTGCTCTAACTTGTTCCAGTTTCTTGATATAAAGTTTGAATGAAATCCAAGTCCTTCATGCAGTGGAAAAAAATGCTAAAGCTACACTGCACTATCCTTCTCTGATGTACTGTCCTTCATATTGTTTTGGTTTCTTCCATAGCTGCCAAAGTCCCTAAAATGGAACTGGGACTTTAGGGTCGATTTTAAATCTCTGTGTTGACTATATGCTTTTGAACTTATTAGATACTGTGCACATTGTCATGGAATTACACACTAATGTTTTCATTCCTCAATGCTTTGTGTATATGTGTGATAGTTAAAATAAATTAAAACAAACCAATGTGAGACAAAAACTAAGAAGAATGTTCTGCGTCAGTTTGAGACAGTTAGAGGGCAACAGTCCCTTGCTTATCTGCTCATGGCAGAAGTACCAGACTTCAGGACGCTAGGTAGCTTATCTGAGCCAGGGATTTTCCACGGCCCTGGAGAGACCGTTGCCTTTCGAACTGTGGTGTTGGTGCTGCGAGTGCTAATGGAGTGGAGATGTCCCTTCCTGGGGAACTCGCTGGGTTTCCCATCAGGGTCCCTCTGGCTGTGGTCCATATCACTTCCAGGCGAGCTGCAGCGGGTGCTACTGTATGCCTTGGTAGCTCCTGTATCGATCTTGACATGGTCGGGTGCTGCAGCTGACTTCTCACTGGTGTTTGTGGATCTGTGATCTTTTTTGCCAAGAGATCCTCCTCTCTTGCTTTCTGGCTTCCTCAGCCTCCCAAACTGTTCATCACTGGTTCCAGCACACACGTGCTCTCTTGCGCCAGCCTCGATCATAACGCCGTGTCCCACCGCTTTGCTTTCTGAGGTGGGCCTGCCACCATCAGTGGTCTTATTTTTGCCTTCTGAATATCCTTTCCAAGAAGCCTCTTCGTGCTTTGACCTGTCTACCTTTTTAGGACTTGCTGACCTTTCTCTTTGTTCTCCTAACCTTTTCTTTTTGTGACCGTTCACCGAAAGCTCCTTTGGTTTCCTTACATCGTGTTCCCTCTTGATATCCCATGTTGGCTCTGGGCTTATCTGGTGAGAAGGGTCAGAGGGTGGGGCTATGTGTGATGAAGATAATGGTGAGATTATGTCGTCGAGGGAAAGAGCTACTTCCGGCAGACCTGGGGAGGTGGCAGAGGGAGCACTCCAGGAGTTTGGTTCGTCTGTTTTAACAACAAAGAGAGGAGAGTTAAGGGCGTACTCAGCAGCACACGTATCCTGAGCAACACTGATACCCAAACCATTTACCAGCCTTAAACCCCTCTGTTTCAGGTGAGGTAAAACTCCCTCAATTGTGGAACAAATGGGGAGAAATAAAAAATAATCTCTGCACACCAAAAAAAACCCAAACCAAACCAAAAAACCCCCAGGAGACATAAGAGTCACAAAAGCTGGTAACTGCAAATTCTGGAAACCCCAATCTTTTTTTTCATACAGATTCCACTTTCCTCTGCCTATGTTAAATTATTCTTAAAATAATAAAGGCACATGCTCATGAAATCAAATAGCCTCTTTTGTAGCTGTATAATGGATTTCTTAGCTGGGCAATATCAGTGCTGTCTCTGAGGACAAATGAGAAGGACTTTCTGCCATCTATTAAACATGTCCCTACAAGCATATAATAATTGACAAGAATTTGTAGCTCAGATAAGGTCATCATTGAATTCTGTCTCATATTTTTTCTAAACAAATATAGTATTGCAGTGTTTATGGCCCCACAATTCTTACAGGGTACTTACACAGCTCTGCCTTTATATCACAGCGTCAGCTGCTGAGTCTCCTGGTTGTGCATTTTGAATTTCTCCTGGTTACTTAGCCTCAACAAAATATGGTTGGATTGTGCAGATCCTGTTTAATTTAGCTAAATAAATGTCTCCTTTGCTGAATCACAATGATTTTCCTAATCCAAACCAGAATATTCTGGGATGCCTTTCTCTTGCATATACATCCTCATTTCTTATGATTAACCTTCTGGCAGAAAACAAATCCATCATGATTAATGACAGCATGGCTCCTATTCTTACCCGTCTACTTAGAGGTTAGAGAAATCACTGAACTTGGCTAATGTCATTCCCTATTTAGCACCATTGCCTGGCTTTGAACGGTATGAGGAATAATCTGTCAGAGATGAAGGACTGTCTCAGGAATCCATGGAAACGAGGTAGAACTTGTGGCAAGAGCTGAATATTTTATGGGGGAGAAAATGTAACCTTGTAGCTAAAAAACAAGCGTGGACTTCTTCAGGTCAGGACTAGTATCTCTCAGTGATATCAGCTGCCCTTTAAAAAAGTAACATGCATTTTTCTCAGTGCTATGGCTGCTTTCAAATTATCATGGAGACACATAATCTCAAAAAATGGAATAGATTCTACTGCCCATCCTGGGATCTGCAGCTTGCTATTAAAACAGCACTTTTAAGTTAATAGCTGGATTGAGTGACTGCTGTCTTGCAGATAAAAATAGGAGAGACAATAGTGAGGTGGGTGACGTAAAGGGAGGGAGCAGCACAGTTAGCTGAGGAGCTATTTATTTTCCCAGATGGTGTTTGTCATATGCTTTTGCATAATGAGCATATGTGTGGAGAGGATTAGCATTTGAGAGGGGTAGAAAGTACAAGTTCTGTGTAAGACAAATAAACATTGAGCTGGGAATCTAAATGGGCTGAGGGTCTCAACTGAATTTAAAAAAAAAGAAATCACACTTTCTTACCCTCCAGTTAAGGGTGACTAATGTACCATCTGCTCCCAGCTTGGCACTCAAGCAAGAAAAAATAAGAAGAAGACTCGTGCATGTAGAGTGATCAGCTCCTAGGAGTTTGCCTACAAAAAGCATTGACTTTGATGGACTTGTTCTCTATTTCTGTTCTTCTGCACCACCAGCCTGGTACAGGACCACAACCTGTGCCTGAAGCACAGACCCCACCCTGGCTCTTCTTCAATCTGAAATCCAAGGGATCTCATTTTATTTAATACTTGAGCCATGCACAGAGTCCAAATCACAAAATCTATTGTGGGACTCAGCATGCTATGTGCACCAGCAAGGTACCTGAGAAAACTCTGAGGAAGCCACCTTGAGCTTGGGAAAATGAAGTTTATACTTTTCATGGCATTGTCACTCCTACCCAGGGTAGAGGTGGTGCCAAAGGTTGGACCAGCATATTTGTCTGAACTACAATCTTCTTTCCTAGTTGTCCATGAGATTTTTTTTAACAGTTTTTCAGTTTCAGTGAAGAGCAGTGGGCCACTAACCAATCTTGCATTAGGCTGTGAGAGCTTCTGATTACAGAAATATCCTGTTACTCTGGGTAGTGTCAACTGCACATCAGTAAAAACACCAAATAGCCTGGAGCAGCAAGATGCTTTTGGGTAACAACACTGCCTCTGTGAAAATGTACCACTATGCTCAAATCAGCTGTTTCTCCTCCACGAGGACAAACCAGGGGGCACCATTCAAAATCAAGGTGGCAAACGCCTCTTGTGGCTCCTCTGAGGCACAAAGGATAATATGGTACCAGTTATTTGTGGGATGCTCTGGAGAGGAGACCTGGGGGTTTGTGGCCTACTGCTTCATTCCCTGGAGATGACAGAATTTCTTCTACTTTCTTTTTTAAATGGGATGAAAAAACAACCAAATGTAGTAGTGAGAAATCATAGTGGGTTAGAAGATACTTCATCAAAAGTGAATCAGCATATATCTTACATATACTGATATATAAATATAGGTGTCTATAAACTGGGACATGCCATATTACATGCATTACTGGATTTTATCTCTCACCCAGAAAACCCTAAGTAAAAGACAGCTTGGCCAACTAAGGAAGAAAACTTGTAGCCACAGCTTTTTAAGTTTGGCTGTGGGACAGCCCCAGGTGTGTCACTGGCTGCACTATGTTTAAAATACTTGCTGGGAAGGCACCTATATATAGGTTGTATTTCCAGTGGTTATGGAACAATGTTGCCATGGAATAAAACTATCATTTATATTCTTTGGCAATATAGCGCTTGCAAGTAAGAAGAAAATGACTTTAAGGTTTAAGTAACATCAGTCTGAGCCAGGTAAACCCAACCTAACCTGCTTTTCTTTCAAATGAAATGACATTATATAGAAAGTTGTCCTCAGCCTTGATAGACATTAATGTCAACAAGCCATTGTTGCAGTATGTCACTGGCTAGTGAGGAGAATACTCATGTGAGGGTATTGTAGCCAACTTCCCACTAATGTTTGAACATTATGGAAAAATATAAAAATTACTAGAGTAGAGCGAAGTGCAGGAATGTAAGTAATTTGTTGCTCAGAAGAAAAACCTTTTAAGGAGCTGTGTTCAAGCCATAAGGGTTCATTTGGATTTGTTCAACCAGTACTAAAATGATTGCTTCTCCATAGCAAATATAAACAGGAGAAAAATGTAAAATTTTATCCTGCAGAGCAGTTAAACTAGTAATTTATTTTCATGATTATACTCAGTTTCTAGCTATATTTTTGAGAGAGTTATTAATATTTTTGAATATTTTTTATTTTGTTGGTCTAAGGCTTTTAATAAAACCTTTGTGTTAATTAGGAACATAATCTACTTTTACTTTTGTTATTTCAACGTATCTAAAAGCATTCTGTAAACATACTAAACCAGAGGCAGAGCACTGATTTTACTTTTTTCTCCCTTCACCTCTGGGAGGAATTGTAAACAGTATTTGTTTATCAGAGCATGAACTACTAATGCCCAAACAACTTGCAAGCAGATGAGAAGAATATTGCATTCAGTTGCAACTGCTGGAGAGATTCAGGGACAACACAGTTTTAAACTTTCTTCTGACTTTGTCACCATTGATAACACCCTTACAGTCAGAGAAATTGTTTTTCAAAAGCATACCTCTCACTGAACGCTAATAGATGCCTTCCTTCTTTTTTGCAGGGAGAAAATCTCCCTTGACCTACTAGCTTAGACACGACAAATGAGCTGGGAGCAGCACTATAATCTGTCACTGTGATGGCATTTCATTTGGTGTAATTTCGTAGGTGCTTACTGGGTGGCTTTTAGTTTCCACAAGCTACTGTAATATAAGTTGGGGGCACTTCTCCATGGGATGTGTAAGAATAACTCACCTACGACCAGCTTTGCACAACTCCCAGGCAAAGCAGAAAGTTGCTAAGTGAGTTAGAGCCACCACAGACACAAGATCTGGAGTGTGTGGGAGGACAAGTGGGAGATGAACACAGCCATTTTGGGGGAAGAGTGACACAGGGAAAAAACCATCAGGAGCAGAAGTTTTCTGTCTGAAGGTTTTTTTATTTGAGGTAGAGCTGCCACATACATGAATTGTTTGTTTTGCTCTGTCAGCTCTCATACATTCAATGGAGTGGAAATGAGGGTACTACTCTCATGAGTATATTTGCTCCTGTCTTAACTGTTCTACCTGGATCCAGTGCTGGCTGATGGCTGAACCATGAGAAAAAGAACCCTGGCTTTAGTCCTAATAGAGACAAGAGCTCTGCCCATGGACCTCTGATTTGTGGCTCTGATTTGTTGCATCAAAATATTTTATATAATTGTATAGTAATTTATCAAGGATGTGTGATTTTTCATCAGATATAATTATCCATAAAGTACTAATATTAATTTAATTGAATATTTAGTAGTAAGAGTAGAAATTACATCACATCACATTTTTTGACTTAACTACAATAAAATCTCAAAGCCTTTTTAATTTTTGAATTATACGAATAATGCACAATATATTAAAGCTTTGAACACTTTCATTAGTCTGAATGAAGTGTTTTCTGAAATGTCTAAGCAGCTGTACCCATATCTTCCCAGAATTATTTTCCTAGGGAATCAAAGAGGGTTTGATTGAATAAAAAAAATATGATGCTTTATTTTTCCCCCCATTTTTTGTCTGAAATTATGTATTGCCAGGAGGTGGCAAGCAGTTCTTATAGTTGCTGCTAATAGCAAAAACGGGACAAATTGCCCCCTGGTGAGTATCCACTAATGTTGGCAGTGCTACACCAGAAATGCATTTGGGTCTTTCTCATTATAGCTTGACATGTCTTTGATGTTCCTGATTGCATTGGCCTCCTGAAGCTTTTCTTTAATGCTCTCTAAGGAGGGATGTTTCAAAATATATAAAGAATCTTTTAATATTTTATCCTGACACTTCCACAACCC